GAGCATGGTCAAGATCTCCCCTTCCCGGATATGCAGTGCAGCTGTTTAGGGTCTCATTTTTTGTGGCCCGGCCCCAGAAAGTTTCGGCCGCCTCCGCTCTTTTCCCCCGTTTTTCCCGTCAGTGTGATGTTCATCGGGGAGCTGATGAAGCTGGCGGAGCAGAGCCTCGCCGAGGGCCTCCACCCGCGGCTCATCGCCGAGGCGCGAGCGGACGTGGCGCGCTTCGTTTCGACCATCGAAAGCCGTCCCAAAATTGTCTTCGAGCCGCACGCCGTCGACTTTTGCCGGGGCCTTTTTGCACCATTTGTTGAGGGTGGTGAGGATGTGACCGATCAGGTTTGCGGAACGCAATGAGAAGGAACTAAGGAACTTGAAAAGGTGCTTTTTTGACCGATTGACTGAAACTAAAGATAAACAAAGACGGTGCAGCTGGAAGGTCCGGAAGGCAAGCCATGTTTTGCCTCCGTGGGCTGGCGTAACTCATGCTTGTGGAGCAAAAAAGTGTTTCGTTTCATAAAGTGGCCCTTTCTAAATGGTGTCTCGGGTAAAGGGAAGAGCCACCTAAGAAATAATCAAGGATCCCACAAACCACCCTCCTCAGCGACCACAACTGCTTTGGCCTTTGTTGGACTTGTCTTGCCTTTTTACAGCTTGTTGAGCCTCCAACCGGCGAGGCGGGCGAACCAACAAAAGATAGATCCCTTTTTTACAAAGATGCCTAGGGTTGTGGGGTTCCAGACGAAAGGTTCACAAAGCGCAATGTTTGGCTAGATAATTATTATGACCCTATGCATGGAGCTTTCGCATTGAATTCTCCTTTGAGCCACCCCCAAAGCTGATTCCCTTTGAAGAAACACAAGAACACATCTTCTGCTTGTTGCCTCACCGGCGTCATTTCGAGGGCTTCGAGCTCGCGCGGGAAGAGACGGTGAAGTTCCTCGACACCTTCAAGGTGCGGGTGGACGGAACAGACAGCCCCACCCAACAGCGGAACTCCACTGAGCTGGAAAAGCTATGATGTAACCAGTCGCTGGGGCCCGCATGAAACGCCATTTACTAGCATTCCAAGCAGGAAAAAAACCCAGAAGCGGGGGGCTTCCGTGGTGATTTGCCGGGGAGTTCTCCTCGCCCAAGACTTTAGCACCGGGTTTGATGGCTTTTCCGCTTCCTTGTCGCTTTCTTCGCTGTGCCAGCAACCCCTTGGGGCCCTGGTGTTCCTTGGGCCCCTGGTGTCAATTGGCTTTCAGGAAGTGATTGGCAGCGGCATCATGGCGCTGCTTTGTTTCAACATGATGGAAGACCGGTTTCTTGGGAACCAGCTAGAGGGAAGTCAGCGGTTTGCCGACAGACGCAGCGCCAAACAGACTCAAAGAAGCAGAAACACACCGAGACATAGACATGCAGACGCACACACAGGCAGAAACACAGAGAGAGAGAGGCAGACTCACAGACACACAGACAGGCACACAGGCACACAGACACAGACACAGAAGCACAGACAAACACAGACACCAGGACATAGACGCGCAGAGACTGAGACGCACAGATTCACAGACACGCAGATACATACAGACACAGAGACACTAAGACTCACAGACACGCAGCGCAGAGACACATAAACTGAGATGCAGCCACGCAGACACATAATGACAAATGAAGTCTGAGGGCACATGAAGACACAGAGACAAACACACATAGAGACCGAGACACATGCGGACACATCTACGCGCGAACGTATTCACGCGCGAAAGCATTCCCGCGTGGCCAAAGTGTGGGGAGTCGTTTTTGTTGACTTGCGCAATGCGGCGCCAGATTCACGTGGACGAGCCGCTGAAGGAACGGGAGAAGCTGGTGTGTGTGGCCCGCACCTCCTTGAGGCCGGAACGAGCCGAGCAACTCGGGTGCCCTTTTGCTCTAAATCCTAGACCGTAGAAAGGAATGCGGGGGCCTTGCTTGGAAGCCTTAAAGTGAAAAGGCACTATTTTCATTTCACTGCAGGTTTTTCATTTCGCGATTCCTTGAAGAAGTTTCCCGCCTCCTGTTTCGTTTTATGAGGTACCCTGGGAATTTTGTTGTGGAACTTTGCGAGGCTGCGCGCCATGGGAGGGTGAGGTCAGGGTTTCCTATTTTAGGTTGTTTGTTCTATTGCGGTGGTTGTAACGTCACCTTCAAGATGAGAATATAGGGAACCCGGCACGCCGGTTTCCCATGTTGATTTGCTGGAGCGTGTTTCGACAAGACCAAGACCAGAGACCTGGCTCTGTGGCAAGTTTGGAGCCTTCTTTTGGTCAGGGGCCTCACAATCACATGGACAACTGAATGCATGAATTCCTTCCTGTCCACATGATTGTTGGAGGGGAAGTCATATGAGACTCACAAGGTCCCGGGGGTTTGCTTTCAACGAGCCTGATGCGACCGTGTTCTAGCAACCGTTCAGAGGCACTTTTCGGAAATGCCGTCACGTCATGAACACTTACGGCACCTGCTAGAACACCCTTGGCGTTCCTTCCGTTCATGCTCCACACTCAAAAGCACCGAGCACAGCGACGCCCGGGAAGAATGCGACGGATTTTGTTTGGGGCGGGTTGTTGAACAAACATCTTCGGGCGCCAAAGTGTTTCAAAGCGCCAGGGGTGACTGGAAAGCCGGGGCCCAGGGGCCAGGGCCCAGATCGCGCCAGGACCAAGATCGCGCCCAGCCTCGCTGACCCCATGGCGGAGGTAGTGGTGGATGCCGCCAGGGGCCCGGAGTGGGCGAAACGAGGGCGAAGAAACCAGACAGCGAGGAGGCCCGCTGGTGTTGTGAGGGGAAACCGTTTTCACCCCCATACGTTTCGATCTTTGTCCAGCTGCAAGTGAGGGGAGCAGAATCTGTTTTCCTTTTCAATACTGCCACGGGACGTCGGATTTTCATTGAAGGCATGAGTCAAGACTCTGTTGCACCCACGTTTCGCCACCAGTTTCTGCTGAAGAACAATCCGAACGAGCGTCGCCCAACACCCGCCAGTTGTTTGATTCCACAAAGATGGCTACAAGTTGTCAAGACTGATCCTACAAACATTGGCACCTTCGTACTTGGCTTTTGGTGGAAACGGATCTGGTCCCACTCCGATTACGAAAGGTGTGAGTCGACTGCCCCCCCTCCCCGGTGGGTCACCTTGGGTCCAGAAGCTCCAGTCTCAGCGATCCCCAAGTGACCTCAGGCCTTCCAAGCTCCAGGGGCAAGGGCGCGCTTGGGCTTCGAGAGGTCTTTGCTAGGAGACGTTTCCTGGGTGGTTGCAGGGCCTTTGGTTTCCCCTGAACGAGCGCGAGCCAATGGAGGGCAGTTTGACTACAGTGCCTGTCAATCGGAGGAAGGGTAAGGATTAAACAAAAAGGGTCTCGGGGAGAAGTTGCGGTTTCCGAGGTGCGAACCATCAAGAAGGAGGGCGAGCCAATGGACCTGAACATGGTGGAGACCCTGCACATAAAGTGCCGCCTCCGTGCTTCCTTTTTCAGAGTACACCCACATGGCTTGGTGGTTTGAACATCAATCTTTTATTTTCCGAAAGTTTGACAGAGTTTCACGTTGGCAGGGTATATATGGTGGGGTGACTTTTGGCCGGAACAAAAGACACCCTACTCCGTGTTTTTGCAGGAGCCCTGTTGTTGCTGCTGCTGCTGTTGTCGTCGTCGTTGATGATGTTGTTGTTTGTTTGTTTGCTTGCTTGTTTGTTTGTTTGTTTGCTTGGTTGGTTGGTTGGTTGGTTGGTTGGTTTGTTTGTTTGTTTGTTTGTTTGTTTGTTTGTCTGTTTGTTTTGTTTGTTTGATTGTGTGTTGTTTGTTTGTTTGTTTGTTTGTTTGTTTGTTTGTTTGTTTGTTTGCTTGCTTGCTTGCTTGCTTGTTTGTTTGTTTGTTTGTTTGTTTGTTTGTTTGTTTTTTGTTCTTTTGTTTGCTTGTTTGTTTGTTTGTTTGTTTGTTTGTTTGTTTGGTTGTTTGTTTGGTTGGTTGGTTGGTTGGTTGGTTGGTTGGTGGGTTGGTTGGTTGGTTGGTTGGTTGGTTGGTGGGTGGGTGGGTGGTGGTTGTTGTTGTCGTCGTCGTCGTCGTCGTCGTCGAAACAGGGCCGAACTCCAATCTCGGTCTTTGCAAATTCTTTCTTTGTTTGCTTTTGGGGGTGGGGGATCTTCTCCATACTGTCCAAGAATCAAAAGAATGAATCAACCCTGGACCCCTTATTCACATTTTCCTTTGAAGAGGTCCATGTTCATGTTCTCGTCCCCCGCGCGGTGTTCAACTCCGTGAAGCGCTGTGACAGGAACATGCTGGCGAGGTTTAAGCTTTGAAGATTCCAGTTTCTCTCTGAAGATGAGAAGTGGATCCAGTCCCACCCCGCAAGGGTTTGTGGGGGACACCAAACTGGGTGGTTCCCTATTGGTTTCTCCAGAAGCAACACGCCAGGAACAAGCTGATCACCGACACGCGCCTGGTGAAGGGCTTGGTCCTGGACCACGGTGCGAGACATCCGGACCGGCCGTCAGATTCGTCCGGCTTGCGTTTGCTTGACAAGCCAAGTCAGACTGTCTGAACATATATCAATGATGACTCAGAGGTATGTCTAGACGCACTCGTGCAAACAACCGGGCGATCCTACAGAGGAACCCCACAAAACCCCCCTTCAAATAGTTTGGCTACATAAGCCGTCAAAGGGCCAAGTGGGGGCTAGATGAGTCTAGTAAGGCCTCAACAGTGGAGGTCAGCAGGACGCAGTTGTTTGGTCCTCCAAGACTGCTGGTCAGGCACTTGACACATACTTGGGACGCGTTCAACAACGGGTTGGAACTTTAAGCGCCACTAAGGCCATCCCACTTAGTGGGCCACGAGGGTTACCAGGCGACAACAAAATTACTCAACCTTCCTCCAACCTGCGGTCCCAGCTGTAAATGGAAAGCTAGCTTGTTCAAAACCTAATCCTCAATGATTAGCGGATGACGGATTGTGCGGTTTACGGATTAGATTATGCGGCTTGCGGATTGCGGATTGCGGATTTTGGGGTGCGCGGAATTTTCATGCTCCAACATACGGTTTTGACCGAAAGTTTGAAGCTCGGATTCCGGATGAAGAAGATTACCAAGCAACACAAGGATTAAGCGGATTACGGATTGCGAATAGGCCACAAGGATTTCCATCAGGCTAGGAAAGGACCCCAAAGAAGGAAAGGGCATTGCCTTTCGTACCCGTTTTGGGTGTAAGCCCAGATTGATGAGTGCAATCTGGGAGTGGTTTGTTGTTCTGGAGTTGGAACTCCTTTGCTGTTGGGAAAGAGCGATCCAACCCTAGCTTGTCCTAAAAGCAATGCATCCCGTTTTCGTGGTGGGTATGGGATTCCATCGCCTGAGCGAAAGGACATGCCCAAGCGGCTTGAGAACTGCCGGGCTGGCCAAGTGAGAGGAGCAGAGCAAGTGTCCACCCTCAAACCTCCCAGCCTTGTTAGCACACATTTTGTCTTCTGCAGCCCCCCCCCCCCCCTCCCCACCAAAAAGCCAAGAACCAACAACACAAAGCACTGAAATTGCATGCCAAGACCAGTGGAGACAAGTTGGTGAAAGTTGATTCTCCCTCCCCCAGTACTCCCTTCCCCAAAAAGGTAGTCAATATTTTTCAAATTAATTAGGCTTACATAAACCACGCATAAGCCTTATCTACGGGGTTATTTTGGAAGTTTGACAAATAGCCACTGAACAAGACGTAGATGGCCCAGTTGGAGTATTAAAACAATGAAGCTGAGTTGTACGGGTTCCTATAGCTTTCAAGCAAAGATTGGCCTGACAGTCAGCGCGCCATGGATTCTTTCCTGGCCTTGGGCGTATTGTTTTGGGAGGTATTGAGGGGACAGGGGAGTATCAACATTCATCATGTGTGCTGGGATGACCACCCATGTTGTACTGGGATGAAGACCCCGTTTGTATAAAGGAAGGCAAACACATGTTTAGGCACGGGACTAGCCCAACCTTTGCACATTACTTGGGACCACTTTGCAATGACCGTCAAGATCAGTTTTAAGCTCATCCAATGGGAGGGTATTGTCAATGTGTCATCTATTGCTACATTCCCTTTCCCAAAGGAGGTCGTTGCACAATATTTGTGTGCTATCCTTTACCTCGGCTTCCCTTGTTCCCATTTCCTGCCCACATTGTGTGTATGTGCTTTGAGGCTACCCGTTTTGGGTTGGCTTCAAAGTGAACCCAATGGAAAACCGCTTTCTTTTTGGGCACACCTGCAAGTTTGTAGGCCTGAACAACGCACAATGAATTGCGTTTCGAGACAACATGGCAAGCATGGCAGATAGACAGCATGGCAAGCATGGCAGATACCCGGCCCAAAGTAACCCGACAAAAAGAGGCCCGTGGAAGACAAGTTTCTTCTGGCCACCGGAGAGGGTAAGCTGCGCCAACTTCCCATGCCCGCTGGCGGCTCACTAAAGCGCGGCCAGAGTTGCTCTCAAATTTGGCCTTTACATGGTATTGGAAAACAATGTAACCTCGACCCAGGAAGGCCTGTATAGGTGTTGGGTGTAAGCAACCATGAATCTCAGAGCAAACATGACTGTGGCCTCAAAGTAGAAAGCCTCGCAAGTTGTTTCGGATCTAGGATTGTTTGTTCGCCCTTGCGAAACCCTCTTGAGGGAACCGTCTGATTGCTCGAGCTTCGGAAGTTTTTCAGAGTTTTTCTCTTGCACACCGGTGCCCTAAAATGCAGCAGCGAATCCTCAACAGTGGCTTGTTTGCGGACTTCTCATGAATCACCTTCCAAAAAGGATCCTTTTCAATTTTCGGAAGCACAAGCTGGGCTTGCGTGGTGGGCATGTTGCGATCCGAGGCTACATCCTGTGTTGCAACGTGTCTCTAGAATACGAGAAGAGCGAGGCCAGAGGAGCCGAGGGTGGATTTTGGAGCTGCTGGCGATGATGGTCTCAACAACCCTGTGCATGTTCTGCGCCTTTGTGCCTGGTGGGGGGGGGGGGTGTTGGACGGACAGATGCCATGCGGGGAAGCAAGGGTGGCAGGGGTGGATATGTGCACGTACATGCACAAAAATACAGCATGTCGTATGCATATGGGTTTGTTTCTTTCCCTCTCAAGCAATCTCAAGGCGGGTATCCCGAAAAAGACAAATCACGCGTAGCTATTGCAAAAGCAAGTCTCCAGTCATGACAAAGCACCACCTCACGAGTGCCACTCTATTTCTCATACAACTGAGGTCCAGGAATTTCCTTGAGCACCTGACTTTACCTCAGATCTGAGCAGCTCTGTATGGTCAGTTTGGGGTTCGAGACAGGGAATATTGTCCATGTTCGTTACAGGCAGCTTTGGTCGCATTTTGACCCTGGCTCGCTTTTTTTTCTTCCCGGACCCTTGTGCCTTTCTCGGCAAGCATCAACCCTCACGGAAAGCGAGCCGGAAAGCATAGACAAATCAGCTCTGAATACCGTCGCAATTTGGGGTCAAACGGAAATTTCACGTTGGAAAAGTAATGATGTGGGCTGGGGACCAGATGGCTGCTTTTTGATATTGGTGTCCAGTTTCAAAATTGCCAAGTTGTCCCAATGCTTTTGATGGTTGTGAGAACCAGGTTCGACCCTTTTTGGGTCATGCCCCTCTGAACAACGCAGGGTTCCAAAGTGTCAGCTTTCACCCGCGTGCCAGCCGGCAACCAACGTGTTGACCTTTGAACTGAGTCAGCCAGATGTTGATCAAGCCCAAAGCGGTCGCCAGTTTGAGAGGCCATCGTATGAAAACCAGCTTGTGCTTTCATTACTACCTTGTGAGAAAGTAAATCGGCCGCTTAAAGCATAAGATTGCTTCTTAGAGGTCTGCGAAGCTTCGACAGGTGAATGCGGGCTTCTTCTACAGTAGCGCGGAGCAGCGGGAGAAGTTGGTCGAGTGCGCCCAACCCGTCCAAAACTGTGAACCAAAGATGTCTGCAAAACTCCAAATGTGGTGTTCCCCCACAGGCCCATACGGATTTTCATTGAAGGTTGGACTGGAATTCCGACCCTCATTTTTTTTTTCAATGTCTCAGAAAGTTGGCTTCAAAGTGCAAGGCGACTTTTGCACGGCTTCATGGGACCTACTTCCTGCTTTCAGACTGCAACAGTTTTTCCGACTCGGTGAAAGTGGATGACTTGGACCGCGTTTCCCCTTCAAAAGCCATGAAGGATGGAACTTGAGATACAAAGCCAATACATCTTCATCGTCCAGGAAAAAATCCGGGGTGACTGTGCACTCGAAAGATGTACCGCCTGGCATCCCTTTCTCATTCCCCTTCATCATTCTATTCCTGAACAATTCTACATATTGCATGGGAACGACAAGGAAAGATAACGCCGTGTCTCCTGCGCGCAACAATATTTCATCGGTGTCCATGATTGGAACCAAACTGACACCGGCGGAATGAAAAGGAGTAAGGCCGATCATAACCCGCGCATGCTATGAGAACTCATGGATCGAGTAGGTGACAAACCGGTGGAGCAGTGTCGCTGTTTGAGGCCAACCGCAGCCACTAGTTTCGTATTCGACCCAGCTCCGCTTCGCGGGTTCCGCGCCAGCTCGGAGCGGAAGTTCACGGACGAGAAGGTGAAGAAGATCATCGCAGCCTTGGCGATTTGGATCTTAGCTGACGGAAATTGGAGGGAGAAGGGACGCCAGCTCTTCGCAGCTTTTTGAGACGAAGCCATTTAAGGTGTGGCTGAGTTGTTTTGAAACAAGGCCAAGGGGAAGCCAGGGCCCCCGCTTGTAAGGTTTCTGTATCCCATTCGAAGCCACGGATTTTGTTGGTTTCAATTTGTCTGAGCCCTTCGGGGTGGCTTGTGGCCACTTTTCTTGGCTCCCCTTTTTGATCCTCAAGTTTTGAGCCTTTAGGGAAGTTTGGGGCCCCATTTTGCAGGGTGCCGATGCTTTGCTTCTTGTTGGCTCTTGTTGACCCATGGTGGAAAGGACGCCTCAGTGCGACTGAGGCATTAGTGTAAGGTCAATTGGGAACAGATTGGAAACCCCATGGTGGTGACTCTGAGTGGGTCTGCTGAAGCTTTGCTAGGAGGACGGTCTTGGACACTTCAAGGCTTAAAACGCCATCTGAGATATAGTCATGGTTCCCACAATGGCAAACTTTCCCAGCGAGGGGATGAGAGAAGGCCTCGTGGAGCATCAGACCCTAAATGCCGATTCCATATAGGACGACCACACAAACCGGCAGCCCTTTGTACTCACAACCAGAGGGAACGGGCAGAATGAGGGTTGCGGGAATGAGGGCCGACTTCTGTGATACTCGGGAACATTTGTTTTCCTTGGCTTGCTTCACGGCTGGTTTAGGGTTGTCTTGGGGTGGTTGTTGGATTGTTCTCGAGTGGTTTAGCTCAAGCTTAGTAACTAGGCTTAGTTTAGGGCTGGCTCAGAGTGTGGGTGTGGGTGGGAAAAGCAGTTCTTCTGCAAACAAACCCCAATCCAACCTAAAGGGTTCTTTGAACTTGAGGCTTGCTCTGAGCCTCAAGTTTGCCAACAGGTTTCTAGAGGTAGAATTTTCTTTGCCTTCGTTGATTCGTGCTTGGGTTCTTTTCGTTTCTTGCTTCTCAGAAGGACTCCGGTTACGCATTCTGCAAGACACAAATCTCGTTTGGGGCCAAACCCTTGCAAATGGATTTGTCGGTGGGTTTTTGCTTCAGCGCCCCACCCTGTCCCAAACTTAGCCCTAAAAAGAGCTGTTTGCAGCGGGGTCAAACGGGAAGTCTGGGAATGTAGGCCCTGGGAAGCGGAAGCCCGGGGGACCGGGGTTCGGGGGAGCGAAACCGGATCCGTCCCATGGCGTCGCCAGGAGCTGAAGAAGAGAGTTTGCACAGAGGACGGCGAATGAACGGAAAACGAAACCCATGAGCCTCGCAAGGTGCGCATCTGGAGACTACGAATTCATTGGAGGGAGAGGCACCGCCTCAACTCGAGGTGGCTACTCTTCTGGATTTCCCTGGAAGATGGGGAAAAGAAAAAGAACAAGGGGAGATGCAGTCACGTCCAACTGGGTTGAGCAGGTAAAGGCAGCACCACACAGGGCGGCGGGGAGGGGTTGTGATGGGCGGAGTCACCCGATTTGGGGCATAATTCTTGTCGAGATGTTCAGAGATTTCTTGCTGGGTCGGGCTTGTTAACGTCGAAAACAGCAATGAATCTGGACTTTGTGGCACTTTGGTTTGACTTGGCACTTTGATTTGACTTGTTGGGGGTGGGGTGGGGGGGGGGGCCGAACGAGGCGGCCGAGCCGGTTGACCAGCTTCACTCAGCCTGCTGTCCAAGCCGGACTCCACCAAAAGCCCAAAGGCGTTTGTTTGGAGGGAACAGAAGCCACCAGCATGCATGCAGTGGACTTTCGGCAAGGTTTTGTTGGGTCCTGTCTTGGTTGCCACTCCACTCAGAAAGGTTCGGGACCCAGCCGGTTTCAGCAACCAGGGCTGGTTTTGGGGTGAAATGTCCACTTTTCTGTGGGGCGCTTCGGCTCATCTCCGGCTTAACTGTCAGGAGAACGGCAAGAGTTTTGTGATCATCAACCAGAAGGGCATCGACCCGCCCTCCCTGGAGATGCTGGCGCATGAGGCATGGCTGCTTTGGCTTTGAACCTGGGCGGGGGGCACTGTTTGGTGGATGGTCGAATGGGAACCCCTTTTGAATGTTGTCTTGTGCTGCAACTTGCTAGTTTGAAGTGTTCACATGGTTCAGCTTGGAGACTCAGCGGCCGTTGATGTGCTTGTGGCCTGGGACTGATGGCCACATGTTCTTCCGCGGCCCTGGCAGCGGCAAGACCTACATGCTCACCAAGGGTGTTGCCGGTGTGGGAGCAATTCTTGCCCGGTTGTACTCGCGGCATTGCCGCCGAGCAGCACAGCGCGTCTGATTGGCGGAAGCGCCTTCCACATGGCCGGCTTCGCCTGAAGAAGCCCTTGGATGGCTTGACACCGCGCATGGCAATTTCCAGTTGGTGGGTGGGCGACCAATCAAGCCCTTGAACCTTTCTGTCTGCATTCTGAAACCTTTTGGATGTAAGCGGCAAGCTCAAGAGGGCCTTTGCGCTTTATGTTCGGGCGGGCAAGGTTGAGGCCACGAGGCCATGAGGCTATGACCCACCAGGGCTGGTCATTGAAGACAGGGTTGCCCCTATACTTCCTCTTTTGACATGGGTCAAACATCACTTTTGGGGCCGCTACAGTGGGCTCCCTTTTCTAGCAGGGTATCTTTAGTCGGGCGATGCTTGAAGAGCACCATAGGGACACGTGCCAGCATGAAACTTACTGCAGAAGATCACGATCAAAGACCAACCGAATACACCGATCATTTTGAGGGCGCCACAATTTAGACCTGGGCCCAAATCTGGCAATCGCTGCCTTGAGGAGTTGTTCACTGAAACCCGCCACTGGCGTCGAATCTTTCTTCGGGATGTTCAACGAGGCTTCGGCTCCATTTGTTTCAATCTTTCACTATGGACGAGGTTGATAACACCCAATGGATTACCAGAAGGTGAGCCACAAAGCCACCAGTTCGGGAAGTTGAGGACCAGATCATGGCGAGCAACATGAGGAGGACAGACCATTTCAAGGAGTTCACAAGTTGGCAGCATGTTTCTTTTGGGAGGTTCCTTAGGATCAATCAGAGCAACAGGTGACTCGGGCGTCAACCAGAAACGGATAGGGTCGCCCGAGTTTTTTCAAGGGGGTTTGCCAAGGGGTGGGGTGGTGGGGTGGTGGGACCCGTCTTCATGTTGCGCCTGCAGGAAAGGGCCAATTGTGTTCCGAAGCAATGGGGAGAGCGCTGAACTGGTGGGTTTGACCGGCTGTGCCATTGAAACGCAGGGCAGCTGTCAACATGTCGATCTTGGCTTTCTATAGACTTGCGGCTCTTTCGGGCCGTAGAGAAACACACAACCACACGAGCAGGCTTCCCCGTTTTCAGGCTGAACCACCCATGTTTCTGCGGGGGACCCATGATGAAGAACCCTGGAATTCTGGGTCATAGTTGTCAGAGCATCGGGCTTTGTGGAAGCCAGCAGGGCAAGAACATGCCCTTATCCTCCAAATCGCCAATTTTGACCCGGCAACGTGGATTTAGTGACACGCTGCAAAGAGCAAAAGAAAGCTGCAACGAGCCAAAAGTCGTCTCAGCTTGGCGTCCCCCTTTCTTCGCCGTTAGAAGTCACTGCAGTTTGGGGGTACCCGCACGGCGCCGGCGTCAGAATATCATTGCGCTGCGGCGCGCGAAGCGCCGAAACATGGAGCCGGGGTCTCGATGTTCAGGGCTCCAAAGCGTCCAGCCCAGCTCTCTTTACATAAGGATAAGGGTTCTGTCCACGAAGGGTCCCGATTTTGGACAGCGCCCTCGACATTCCTTTTGGTGCGCAAGCACAGTCCCCGTATGTCCCCAAAAAAACGGTCGAGAGGTACAACTTGTGGCGTTCCTTTCTCGCCTGCCCAAGACAGAAAGGTGAGGCACGGACCATCTGGCCAAGACCCTCAGGTAAGAGTTGAATTTGCCGTTTCACCCTGGTCCAAGGTCCTGGAAAAACAAGGTGCGCACATTCGGCACCAATGACAAACCATGTATCACAACTGGCAAACTGAACGAGCAGAGGTCAGCTCTGGAGAGATGAGTTTTACAACGGTTGCAATTAGGAGTTTTTGTTATCCCGCTGATTACGATGGCCAATTTGTCTACTCACCTGTGGTGGGATGGTCCGCCAAGCGTCTCCAGCTGAGAGATGGAGTTGGTTCTTCTGTCTTTGTTGGTCGTTTCAGGAACTCACAAAGCGTGAGCGAAGAAGGAACTACATGGAGTCCATTTTTGAGGTGCCCTCATGGGTATGAAATTTGATTGGGAACCCTGCTGAAAGCATCATTTGTATGGAGACCCATGCCCATCCACAATTTTCAGTGTGTTCCAACCACCAAATACTTGGTCACGCAAGGGATGCTCAAAGGTGGCACTTTCCGTTACCGGCCAAGGGAAGTCTATTTTCCTAAGGCTGGTTTCAAAGGGGGGCTCCTGATTTCCATTCCAAGAAGGAGGGTTTCAAAGCGCCTTTGGGAGTTTTCCTGATGTTCAACCAAGAGGAGGTTCAAAAGTCCCACGCCGCTCAGGCGGCTACCGCTGGTGTGCGGTGGCCAGGCAGTCAACTCGGTGGATGACCTGGATGTCGACGATCTGGGCGCCGGTCCCAGAAAGCAGAACAAAGACGAAGATGACGCCAAGGGGGAGCAACACAGCCCCACTTCCTTAACCCCTCCCGTTTTCGTGAAGAACCTACTCCCAGTTGGTTGCAAATACGACAGGCACTGGGGTTCGAAGACAACCTCAGGTCATGCCGACCTGGTCTACGAGCAGAGCTTAGAGGCAGGCCATCAAAATCTGTCGTTGTGTTTGTTTTGACTCTTCGCTTCACGGGAGTTTCAGCATGTGCCGAACACAGGTCCCCAACAGGGGCGGAGACCGTTTGTGCTCATTTGAGTGAACGTTGTGTTTGCAGTGGCCGTTGCCTGGGACCCTGGCCTGTCATTTGAAACTGTACAAGCAACATTTTCCGGCATGCAACCCCAGCGCGGAAAACACAAGCTCTAGGAGTTTCCTTCTTTTCAACGTGATGCACCTTTAGGCGCGTTCTTCCTCAATCGTGTCCAGCACTAAGAGCGCAGCTAGGTTTTTGCAGGATACATCGCGTCAACTACGATTTTTGTAACGGCCAAGGCCATGACGCCGGAAGTTGCAGCTAAAATTTGCAGGAAACATCGCGCCAAGCGCGACTTTTGTAAAAGCAAAGTGCATGTTTGAAAGCAGGTCCATGACGCGCGGATGTTGCGGCTATGTTTTGTGCTTTTGTCAACACCAGGCTCTCGCTGTGCCACGTCGATTTTCGGATTTGCGTGCTGAGGGCTTGATGTGTGGCCAACGGAGCATTCTATGAGCCCAGCGCGTGAATTTGATGGAAGCCGCAGCATGCTTACTCGTCGTAGCTGGCGCAGCATTTTGATTCATAGGTGCAGTGAATTTTGTGGCAGGCGCAGCGTTTGATGAATTTGCAAGGCTTGCAAGACGACAAAGAAACCCTCTGCAGACTTTGGGCTGAAGGAGTCGCTGGGACTGTTGCGGCGCAATTTGTGAAAGACGAAAGCAAGCCCTCTGCGGACTTTGGCCGGTCGATTCGCTGTGGCTGTGGCACATGTCTTGCTGGTTGATGGAGAAGCTACAAGGCTACGACACCTCTGCCTATGCCCCAACAAGTTGAAGGTTCAGGGTCCAACCAAAGAGCAGTCAAGTCTCACAAACTGTCGATATTCATCGTTTTCCTAATCTGCTTTGTCGAGGCCCTCTGCAATTTCCAATGGCGTCCGCTTGGCTTACTTGCAACATTTGGTGAATTTCTGAACAAACTCCCGTCGACCCCCGTGAGGCTTTTGCATGTAGGGCGTTGCGGTTGCACCATCGATTTCTCAGGACGACAAGTTTACCTTCATCGAGGGTGTCCGGGCACCCAGGCCATTGACAGGCATGGCTCTGACTTCCCCTCTGAACTCACCGGTGACTGCCACCATTGGCCATTGAGGCCATTGGGAAAATCCAAGATGGTGTCCACCCCCAAATTGTTTCCTTTTTACCGCTACGGCTTAGGAAACATAAGGTATATATGGCTAACATAGGTGTTATATGCAGCATTTTTCTCAGAGGAGTGGAACCCCTCTAGGAGTAAAACAAGTCTGGAACCTATGATGAAGGTCATTTGGTTAGGTTTCTGTGACTTATGGTGATTTGTGCAGATACTTCGGCAACTTTCCTCCCACTCCCCTCCCCCGAAAAAAAACTACGTACTCGCATGTCAAACTTGTCCCAAGGCGGCAAAAGGGCGACCCTATGGTGGGCTATGCGGTTTCCATCCGCGCGTCCCGAGGTGAAGAACCCTCAAAGCTGCACGGTTTTGATCCAGGGCTCCACGGATCACGCCATCGCACAGATGAAGGCGCCAGTGCGGACATCATCTTTTGATTGCCGTGATTGCCCAACTTCGCCTTTTTTCGGGTAGCTTGCCCTTCAGCATGTCACTTGTCCGTGGCCGATATTGGCGGAGTTCCAATTAGATAACGTGTAAAGGAGCATAGGGGACCCGCTCGTTTGGATTGAAGTGGCTTGATCAGGGTGAATCTGAGCAGGCTTGGTGGGCGCCAGCAAAGAGCCGTTCACGAATGCGGGTTCCTTTTCTGGAGAACCATGGGGGTTTTGTCTGACTCAATCAGATCCAATGCTTTCAAATTTGAAGGTTATTTTGAATGGAGCCCCAAAAGTGAAAGGTTTAATATATCTCGTAGGGATTTGGAGGAGAATCGACCAGTGATATGCATGCAGATTCTGGGTTTCGGCCATGGGTGAAACCTGCCGAGTTTGAACCGGCTGTATCAGCGTGCCAATTACTTGTACAACATAGCCAACAGAAGTGTCCATGACACCCCCCACTCCCGCCTCCGCTAAACCAAGTACCACTGCGAGCTATCCCCACAAAGTACAGTCGGCCATCAGTTTCGAGTGATTCTGAGGCTTTCCAACACCTTCCCCAATGGGCTCCTAATTTCAGTTGACGCAGCTAGTGGCCTTTGTTCCTTGTTTGCCCCCCCGCAGCAACCGGAGCAACCAAGAGCGCCAGGATGCCATCAAGGATGGACTGAGGGCAGTGCAAAACACTGTAGAGGATGAGGCTGTTGGGCGACGAGATACGACAGGATTCCACAGACCCCGAGCCCCCAACGATGCATTAGGTCAAAGCACTATCTCATGGTTGCTCTTTTCAAAAAGTATGTGTCAACTTTGTTTATCGTCGTTCATCTTCAATTGTGCAACACCAATTCAATGTTCGGGACAACACTGGAGCACTGTTTAACTGTGTTGAAAGATTCTTTACTGTTTATTCAAGTTATATAGCAATAGGACTTATATGCCAGTCATCCGAATAAGGGTAAATTTTAGGGTGGTGTCTGGAGTCTGTAAAAGCAATTGCGGTTCAACTGTCAGTACCTATCGATCAACTTTCCCTTCGATTGCACATACAGATGCATGGATGGGTTTCTGCCAGAAAAGGGGGCTTTCTAATTTTTCTACTTGGGTTCTTCCGCCCATTGATCAAAGATGTTCTTTGCTCGGTGTGTTTCTGGGTGGAGTGAAGTGTTTCTTCTTTCCTTTTGTCCTTCCGGGCCTGATCTGATTGCTTTGGCCCATTTTTGGTACACCCAGGGCACTTTCTTTGGGGGTGCTAGTTTCGTCATAGGGATGCCTCACTTTGGCATCACAGACATACTCATTGATGGAAATATCCACTGAGGAATGGCTCACCATTGGCAGTACATGACAATCTACCGTTGCAAAGGGGACGACATTGGCTGCGCTTGCCGACTTGCAATTGGGACATGGAGGTTCCTCGCCAAACTCCAGTGTGAGGAGCCAGATGGGCCCTCTGCCGAATATTGACTGGCTCACATGCAAGATAGTTTCCATGGAAACCAACAGAAAGGGAGTACCCTGATTTTGGAGACGTGCCCACATGCAAAACCTAACCAACCCCTCTCCTCCTTGTTTCCTTCGACCGGAATAGGGTTTTCCTTTCGATTGGGGCAAAAGGGGACCACCAGTAGAGGACTTCTTTTCTTTGAGGGGCCTTTGATTTTCAAGGAAGGGACATGGTCCAAAGGCAAGCCCTGGACCCAAACACATCACGCAGGATAGCCAAGTTGGGCTGTAAACAGCCAGCTGCCATCGACGCCTTTGAAGGGACGCCTCAAAGAGGATGTCAAAAACCAGAAACAAACAAACAACAACAACACACAGCTGTACACATATTGAACAGGTAGTGGGCCGCACCCTGACGGCAAGAAACATAAGTCCAATTACAACATGTTCAATACTAATCATTTGATTGTTCCGTGAATCACAGCAACCCGCGTGGGCATCAGCAGGCCAGATTTTGAATGGACAGCTTCGTCTTTCCGCCTTTTCGATTTGGTCTTTGCGTTGTTTAAATTGCATGTCCATGTCTTTCACACAACGTGGGTTGCTGGAGGAAGGATCAAGCAACTACCATGTCCAAATCTTGAGTTCTTGCTTGAAGGCCCTTCCAAAAAGGCCAACCTGTTTTGGGCCGTTTCGTGATTTCCCCGCTGGGGGTCGCCTATTCTTGGGCGAGTGGGCCGCGCTGCAACATGTGGTGTTTCTGTCCTCTTGCGTTTGGGGCGAATTGCTGGAACCTACACATAGGTATGTGTCAAAACCTCTATGTTCCATTCTTTCAGCAACGACTCAACTTTGCTTGTTCTCAGTGTGGAACCTGAGCATGACTCCATGCCTAGCCGTATGCAAGTCTGTTCCCTGAGAACTCATGATTGCACATTCAATCTTGACGAGCCGGCAATGCCATTTGAAATGCCCTCCAGGCACCTTCATTCCCATTATCCTTGCGATTCTCCACAGTCTATGGGCTACTTGCTACTTCTGGATATGCCCATGGCCCGTTTTATGTAAGCAGTGTGGGGGTACTAGAATACAGCCCCATTCTTCTGGGCTGTTCAAAGGTAAGTCTGAATCCTTGCCTTAGGCTACACAAGGGCTCCCCTGTTTAGACATTCTTCAATGGGGATTATGGAGCATCAGATTGGCCAATTACAATATATTATATACATACAATTTATATACATGTATTTGTATCTACACATTCTGTCAAGTCCCATTGCCTATCCAGTCATTTTCGGGTGTACATCAGGGTCACCGGAGTCCTTTCAGGCCTTGGTCCCCGGCGCGGGCGCCTTCGAGGCGTTTGGCACCGAAGTTTTCGTGTTCAAGAGCTCCCAAGGGCCCCAAGGGTACTGCCTCACTGTAATTGTAGGGCACTGCCCCACTGTTCTACTTGTTCTACATGTTCTACTTCTCTTTGGTTTGAAACAGGGACCACACACACCAAATCGGCTTTCCATTCATTGTTTCCCATTTAACACAATCGCAAAAGGGTATCCAGGTACACTCAGAAGCGAACGCTTTTTGATCTCTTTCGGGCATTGCCCCTTGTATGTGTTTAATGCTACAGTGCACACTCCATTTCCCCTTGACTCCATTTCCCCTTGACTCCCTTTCCCCTTGACCAAAGTTTTCACCGCGGACTCGCCAGTGGCAGACTTTGGGCCAGGCCCTGTTCTTGGTAATTATTTGTTTTGGGTCTTCTTAATCGTTTTGGGTTCGGTGACCAACATTCCCGTTGCTGGCATACCATTGCTTGGGCAGAACAGTGAAGTTTCATGGATATGTATATGTGTATACTGCTAAAGCAGACACCAACACGAAGCGAGCCATTCGGAGGGTTGCGACTTGTGACTTTGACACCTTCAGCTCGCCAGAGCCATCTCTTGTCCACGGCACCGTGGACAGAAGACCCGCGTCGAATGGCAGCACGCAGAGCTTGCTCGCAAGACTGTATATACTGCAGTCACAAACGCAGTACATCTCGAACTCTGTTTTCCTGTTTCTGTGAAGCCAGAGCAAGCCCAAGACGTTCAAAGGTGCCCATTTGGAGTGGGGGCAAGGCCCTGATTGCTAGCAGGAGGAACCTTGAAGGGTCCAAGCCTTCATTTTTGTAGATTGATTTGGGGACCCTGGTGGTTGGCTGCATGACTCTCCCCACACTTTCCAAGAATTGCCGACAAACAAATATACAAGAAAGCAGAGATTGTATTTCCTGCAGAGCCGTTCAGCAAAGCGGTGGGTCGACATGTGCCAATCACAGGAGACCAATGTCAGGTGCAGGCTGGTGCGTCGAGATTGACCTCCTCCTCACCCCCAAAATGGGTGTCTTCCAGTTGAAGTCATAAAACCTGGTGTAGTCGGAATCCCCCAGCACTTGGGCAAGCCTTTCGGGCCCCAGAGCCCTGTCGATTGGCAGATCGCGGCGCATGTGCACTTGGAGCAGTTCAAGAAATCCGTAGAGGCGAAGCGCGGCCAGGGTGGCCTTTGCTGGACTTCCTCATTGGAATCCTTGGGCCTCTCAAATTGGTCCGGGTAGACTGCTTTTGCCCCACATTTGGAGTGTGGCTCGCATGGGCTTTTGGATACTTCACCAGTGTATTTTCTCGGGCATCCAAACTGTTGTCGTCGTCAGTGTCACACTTCCGGCCCCTGTTTGTTCGAACCCCGCCGGAGTGATTGTTTCAAACCAAAACTTCCGGGCAGCAAGTGGCGGGTTTACTTCGGATTGGCAGGGGTTGCACCATTTGCTGAAAAGGGACACGTGGGGACGCAAAGGCCATGAGAAAGCCTTGTGAAAGCCAGCAACTCTGCGCTCGAAAGGGCCTGCCATCGGCCACCTTAGATTGATGGGCAGCATGTTCTTTGCAAGTGGCGAGGTTACTTCGGATTGGCGGGGGTTGCACCATTTGCTGAAAAGGGACACGTGGGGACGCAAAGGCCATGAGAAATGTCAGGTCGCAAAAGCAGTTTGCAAGGCAGCATGTGATACCAAAGCGTGTTTAGGTTGCTGCAAACGTTGTTTCCAGACGGCGGCTCAAAGTTGGACGGGTGAACCGAGGACAGTCTCAGCACAGCAATCCAGCTCTCAAGCTGCTTCCAGTTTGGTACTGAGCCACGCGCTTCAAAGAGAAAGCGCAATTAACCTTTCGGCCTCCTAAGTTGGAGCCTAAGGGTTGGCAAAACCAGTTTTTCCAAGACCATCCGCAAGAGGCCCGCCCAATGGTCATGAGAACAAACTAGGCTCATGCAAGAAACATGTAAACGGGTACTACAACAAACATCGCTTGCCCGCATTTGTTTTCAGATCTGGCCGTGAATATTGGGAGTTCAGGTTGAAGACGCCGTGTGGCATGCTGTACCATGGCAACCCTCGCTACTGGTTGGCTCTGGTGGATTTACCCTTGCTATCCTACACCTTTGTGTCCTCTTGCCTTTGTTTAGCTCCCCTTTTTGCAAGTGGCCACGTACCGTGGAACCCCAAAGTGGCACAATCCGGAAAGGACGGATTTGGTTCCTTGGACAGCAGTGACTTCTTTGCTTTTCCTCATGACTTGGAGGTTCCGCTTTTCCATCATTCTGTGACATTTTGGGGGGATTCAACTTTTCAGGCTGTGAAACTGGGACTGGGGTGGGTGGGAACGGGGTGCGATAAACCAGAGATTATGCATAGCAAGCTGCGCCTTGTCTTCGTTGGACAAGGTTCCTGGGCAGAAGAAGCTCAAATTATCGACACCCAAATGCCATGGTGGCTGGGATATAGTTGGGGTATCATTCACAATGTGGTTGTGGCTAGCAGCCACACAAACAATAGAAGGCAAATGCATACCGCATACCCCGGCCTAACTCTCCAATTACAGTGCAGTGTTTTTCTGCCTTCCACCCAGAAGAAGCTCAAATCATCAACACCCAAATGCCATGGTGGCTGAGATAAACTTGGGGTACAATTCACAATGTAGTTGTGGCTAGCAGCCGCACACACAATAGAAGGCAAATGCATACCGCATACATCATCAACACCCAAGTGCCATGGTGGCTGGAATAAAGTTGGGGTATAATTCACAATGTAGTTGTGGCTAGCAGCCACACAAACAATAGAAGGCAAATGCATACCGCATACCCCGGCCTAACTCTCCAATCACAGTGCAGTGTTTTTCTGCCTTCCACCCACATTCATACAGGAGTCCTCAAGATCGTGCTGGGCTTAAAGTGCATGAAACCAAAGCTAAGTTTCTTGGCATTCATTGGCTCCCAAGTACGGGAATCCCCAACATGGGTTGTTTTACCTTTGGTTTACCTTCAAGCAAGCGCCACAAAAGGGGCTTCCCGTCCAACAAAAGACACACCGCACCTCCCTCTCAAGTTCGATTTGACCCTCCAACACCACAACCAGCCATCGATTTTCACATTCCAACCCTTGGGTAATTAATTAAAGGTATCGGGACAATCCCAACCAAAAATCATAGCGGCTGCTCTTTGGATTCTTCCCAACCGTACCGTAGACCGTTGCATGCAAGGCTTTGAGGGTATATTGACTCATGTGACATTTGGTGGGCAGCAAACACCAACATTTGAGGCTTGTTTAGTCCTTCTGGCTCACAAAAGTTAATTGGTACCACATGTAATCATGAGTTTGCTAGATTAGGCTCGCCAAGTTCAACGGCCATATTTTCCTTTCTTGTTTGGTTTTTAACCGTTGCTGATGTAGAATGATTTTCCGTCCGCCAGGGTGATGTCTAAAGGGGGAATGCAGCTTTACAGTCCTAGCATACTTTTGGCTTTGTTCATGCGTAGTAGGGCAACAAAGGCAAGTTTGTTCCTAGCAGATTAAGGGTCTGTTGGTCACAAAGGTGCCCTTTGCCGACGGCACACTCATGGCAGGCCCATTTGACAGGGCCCCAAGGGCGCCTCTTTGCAAAGGGCTCCGCGCAGTGACATGACAGCAGCTTGGGTTTCAGGGCAAGCCTCGGCTGGGCGTGGAGATCTTTGGGAAGTCGCTGCTGGTGGTGCCCAAGACCCTTTTGGAGAACAGCGGCCTGGACGTGCAGGACACTTCGAGCGGCTGGCTCAACGAAAGCTCGGCGGTTTTGGGGCAGAGACACCAATCCTGTCATACATGTGGCGTTTGTGAAAGCTTGTCACGCGCGTGGCTGACAAATGGGAGCCGGCTCAGGAATGGAAAGCGCAACTGGTCAGGAGGGCCCTTACCCCATGTCTCACGGCTGTGGCTTTGGGTTGCCTGATATGTGCTGTTGACCCCCGGAAACATTAGTTGTTGGACATGGGAAACTGGCAAGCAACCGTTTGCTAGCCGCTCTGGCTCCGTTTTCTTGGCTGTCGGCCCTCTTCTCTGTCGCGGAGAAGCGTGGACTGCGCAGCCCCCAACCCCCACCCTCAGCGCAGAGTGCTGTTTTGTTTTCCGCCGAAGCTACGCCGCTCAGTTTGCAGTTGCTTATTTACCATGTTCTTTGTAAGCTTTGTCAAACCAGCAACGCCCCAGCAGACTCGGATTGTGGTTGTGTTGGCTGTACCTGCTAAGTGCAAGCTAGTGTTGCTAGTTTTCGCGCCGCCAGGGCTCGCTGGCTGGGTGTTTTGTCGGCTTGGCCATCGATCAGTACTGTTTGTTGTCATGTTTGTTATGTTTGGATTTGTTGTAGTGTGCCGCAATTCCCGTGAAGCACAATCTAAATGCACAGAAACGCAAACGACATCTACACACACAGAAACAGACACGCAAACACGTTCATAAACACATACACAAACACACCCACACACACACAGCCACGCAAACACAAACGCGCACACACACACACACAACCACACAAACACAAAGCGCACACACAGAAAATAAGCACTCACGCTTGCATGCCCGCACGCCCGACCGCCCGCCCGCCCCGCGCGCCCGCCCTCCCGCCCGCCCGCCTGCACGCATGCATGCACGCACAAAAACACACGCACACAAAGACACGCACGCACGCACGCACGCACGCCCGCACGCCCGCCCGCCCGCCCGCCCCGGCACGGCACGGCACGGCACGGGCACGGCACGGCACGGCACGGCACGGCACGGGCGCAGGCGCAGGCGCAGGCGCAGGCGCAGGCGCAGGCGCAGGCGCAGGCGCAGGCGCGCAGGCGCAGGCGCAGGCGCAGGGGCGCAGGCGCAGGCGCAGGGCAGGGCGCAGGCGCAGGCGCGCAGGCGCAGGCGCAGGCGCAGGCGCAGGCGCAGGCGCGCAGGCGCAGGCGCAGGCGCAGGCGCAGGCGCAGGCGCGCAGGCGCGCAGGCGCGCAGGCGCGCAGGCGCAGGGGCGCAGGCGCAGGCGCAGGGCGCAGGCGCAGGGGCGCAGGCGCCCACGCGCCCACGCGCCCACGCGCCCACGCGCCCACGCGCCCACGCGCCCACGCGCCCACGCGCCCGCACGCGCCCGCACGCGCCCGCACGCGCGCACGCGCACGCACACGCACACGCGCACGCGCACGCACACGCACACGCACACGCACACGCACACGCACACGCACACGCCCACGCAAACACAAACACGCACACGCACACGCACACGCACACGCACACGCGCACGCGCACGCACACGCGCAGGCAGGCTTTCCCTTAATTGGACACTCAGTCATTAGATGCCTCCTTTCGGACGTTTATGTTCGCCATTTTCAGCTCAAGAATAGTATCTTCTGGGAACCATCCATACGATCAGAAAGGTCCCCGGGTTGTACCCGCATAGCTTGGTGTCTCCGAAAATGAGGGCCGCCTCTGGATGCTCAGGTCCATGCAGGAGGTAGATGTAGCACCAAATCATGAGATGCAGCAGCTTAATCAGATGAGCTTTGCGCATTGCAGCGGGCGACCCTTGGTCATGGATCCACCAAACATGTTTAGTGATTGCATTTATATGGGAACTGTCACCTCAAAGTCCATTCAACATGACTCGCACTTCGAGCCTTGAATCAAGATATTACCTGAGAGTCCATGATTGTGGAAGGTTGGCTTTCAGGACCATTTTACGTGATACCAAGGTAATCCCCTTTACAATAATAGAGTATAGTTATGGGAAGGACATATTACGTTGTCACAGGGCCCATGTTCGCAAAAGTCACGACCCTCAGGAGAAGCTGCTGAGAGTGCTCTCGGAACGGGAGAACAAGAACAAGGTGGCCACGAGCCCAGCTCACGGGGTATTTTGGCAACCCTCAATTGGCGCCTGCCAGAGCTTCCCCGCAAAGCGGTTTATGTGCTTGCTACACCAGGCTTGATGTTGACTGCACAACTTCCATCGAGCTCACTGAACAGGGAGTAAACGAGCTTACTGATGAGGCAGGGAATGTCTTTGCTTTCAGGTTGTGAACATGAGGGTATGCTACCCACTATTTAGGGCTCAGCCAAACCCATTCTTCAGGGGTACAAGGAGAGCCCACATTGCTATCCAATCTTAAATCCCCGTCCAAGGTTGTCAGCAGCTGGGCGTCATACCGCGCCCACTGACTGCTCTTAGGCTGTGTTAAAGAGAAGCCAAAATGACATCAATCAGTTTGGGGGTCCCGCCACAGATTTTGGGGTGCATCCCTTGGTTGTCAAATTTAAGAGATCGTTTCATCTGCCGGTGTGATGTTGACCAGGGAAAGCAAAGACCGGTTTCCGGTAATGACCCCCCTCCCCCAAACAGTGGGAGCATTTCCCTTTAGATTGGTGCGACCTTCGTTTAACCTATTTTCTGATCTTTTGGAGAATGACTTTTCACACGGGATCCGCTGCCACTTTTCCGCGGATCACTAGGAACCTGGTGCAAGGTTGGCATCAGCGTGGCCAATGGTGATCCGATCGACCCGGCGGCCGAAGGCGCGGGGGAGTGGTTGATTCCAAAGTCAACCTCCGCATAGCTCAAACCTCCTGGACAATGGCTCATGTACCAATTCAGCAATCGTGCTTGGGCTCGGGACATGTCACCTTATCTCTCATTGGTGATTGGAAGTGTGGATTGGAGGTTCGGGATCCCATTTGGTTTCAAGAGGAACGGGGTTCAATCCCAAAGTCACCAATCCAAGTCACGAATCACGTGATATCACGGGTGAGGTTGAGATGGGCAAGCTCTACTGAGCGCAACTGGTGGAACGCATGTTTGTTGCGCCCTCGCTGGCTCCATGTGGATCATACATTCTCGCGGGCTTTGAGGGTGTTTGCCGCCATCGCGAGGAAGCTTGACTTTCCTTTACCAGTATCTTATCAGGACTCTGCTTGAAAGTCATGCGTAGCCGTGCAGGTCTGAGGTCTCCTGATATAGAGGACCTCCTTGCAAATGAATAAAATCCTTTTCATTTTCTTTTGAAGAACTCCGAAGGGGGGCTTCCGTCTTTTTAGGCCACCCCCCAATGTTGGTCAACACGCAGTTTGCTGCTCTCATGCCGTGGTCGCCTGGGTTTCGCGCTGGAGGTATGGTCAAGCATGAAACCTTACCTTTCACCAACTAACCTGCAGCCAACAAGGATCTCAGAGCAACTTGCTTTATTACATTGTAGGGAATTTTCAGGTACTGTACATTGCGAGCCTCTACAGCTCTCCCTAGACCCTGGATCGGGCACCAGACCCTCGAGCCCTTCTTGTTCAACCCTCAACTCTTTTTCTCTGCGACTGCAGGGGTTACTTGCTTGATTGCAGATGGCATTTGGGGCTGTCCAAAGATTGAGGACCCCTTTTCAACGTACAGAGCAAGTTATATTCGCTGCTTCGATGTTATTTCATTGAGCGCGAGCCAGGGATCTACGACAACTTCTTAGTGAAGAAGCAGATGCTTGGCCTGGCCTCCGCCTCAGAAAGGGAAGTCTCGCCCCAGTCGCTTGGCAAGGGGAAGAAGTTCATGAGGACCCCAGTTGGTACAGGGATGCTTTTGGGAGGGAAAGCAAGCTGCCCTAAGTAGCTGACGGGTTATTGTTGAATACAGAAAGGTTAACATACTTCCCTCCTGTGGGGTGATATTCTGAAAGGGAGACGTTGGGAACCCTGCTGAACAACCCTGGTTAGCTGGTGCCTCAAGCAGGTTGTAGCTTAACTCCCGAAAGGGGACTTACCGTACCCACCAGGCAAATCAAGCCAGTTGGTAACTGGCAGGGTCATCCAAGCCGCATCCAAGTTCATGGTGTCAAATGAAGTTGGGAGCCCTTTGTGTGATTCTGGAGTCTTGGAGGTAAGCCAAGCTTGTCAACCAAGGAAAGGCTTCGGCAAAAGGAAGCTGTTCTGGACATGTTTTTGAGGACAAATTCCAAGGCCATGGTGGAAAAGTGAGGCTTGGTTGCTACTTGTGATGCCTTGACCCAAAGGCAAAACTCCGTGCCAGGTGTTTCCCTGAGCTTTAGGTGTACGGGCTTTAGATTTAGCTTTAGGGAGCTTCCCCAAACAGAATTTATGAGCTTTAGATTTATCAGCGCTAGGGGGGCCAGGAGCTCGCAGATTCCGCGATTTGGGGAAAGCACCCAGGCGCCGGTCCTTGCAGAGCAGCTGCTCCTCGTGGATGAGGCGCGATCCGATCGACGCCTCGAGTGGTTGTGAGCGACAAACACTTTTTGGTTCTTTGTGTATCCCGTTTTGGTGGTTCAAACAACACCTCTTGGTTGCCATTTCAGAGGAGTCGTTCTGAATTGGTGAGTTGGATTGGTGGTTTCGGGGCTTGAGCAAAGCAAAGAACTTGAATCATTTGGTGGTTCAGGAGACGCATCGTTTTGTCACCCTATGAAGCATTGAGAGCATTTTACTGTAAGATGTTCGAGTCGTTGGGAAGTCAAAATCGTTGAATGCGGAGGGTTGCCCAAAATGTGTGCACGGTTCACACAGGGCGATTCGGCCTCGACTCAAATTTTGATCAGAGACCAACAGACCTACGATGCCCATCAACCTCTCAGCAACTTCTTTTAGACAAGAAATGTAGAGGGATGCATGACCAGTGCCCGAAGCAGGTTGTGTTTGTGTCTTGAAAGACGAGTTTCATTAGAGCTTCCTTTAGTACCTTGGTCTTGGTTTCTGTTTAGCCACCATCCCAAAGATTTATCCCTAGTTTTGAACATTATCATATTCTCTTGTCGGGTGAACACAATCTGTTTTTTGGAGAGCATTTTTTTTAAATGGCCTAACCGCAGGCTGACCTTGCCAGTTGTCAACTCAGCATGGAGTTCTACTACTTGGTTGAGTCTTTTCTGTGACCCTATATAGATTTTTATGATCATGTTGATAGAAACAAGCGCCAACGGGTTTTCGGAGCTACTTTTCGGCCGATGAACATCATTGTCGGCGCTGATGCTGTTGGCGTTGGTGATGTTGATAATGCAGGAAAAACAGACGATATTGATGCTGGTGATAATGGTGGTGATGCGAATTGCCCAGGTTGCTGCTTATGCTGGTGTGCTGACGATGCCGGGATGTCTGTGTGTGGCTGGCGGTTCTAGTGGTAACACTCCAAGTGTGGTTTCCTGATTTTCTTGAGGGGCATGGGGACCCATTCTATTTTATGGGTCTCCAATCATCCTCAACATGTACAACATGTCAAATTTCCTGGATCAAGGACCTCCCATGAAAGAAGCTCATGTCCGTCAGCATATTTATTGTAAATTGTGCAGAATTATGGGAGCCTGCAGTTGGTGCCGGAAGATCAGCAGAAAGAACACACAAAAAGGGCCCCCGAGAAAGATTCCCCTATGCATGTGTGCTTCTTTTGGAGTGTATGTGAATCTGCCTGGTAGCGATTCCAGCTCCGCCTCTCCACATTGGTTCTCCAGGTCATCCGCGCGGGGAAATCCATGAAGAGTGATGGTGGGATGCAGGGGTAGCCATTCTTAGTTGCAGCTGCAGACGCGAGGCAAAGCGATTTGCCGCGAATTTGGGCGCAGGGTAGCTAAGGGCTGTCTCACCGGATGCGACACCAGCATCCTGATATGAGGGAGTACCAGCGCATCAGCCAAAACTAGAGTTGGTGATCTGGTCCAGCAGATTTCATGTTGTTGCAAATAGGTTTTCCTTTTGGGACCCCCACTCCCCCTCGAAACGGCGGTAGTAAGCTTCACCAGTGTCCCAAACAGGGGTTTACATGCTTGACTTGACATGTCCGTAGCATGCTCTTGTCTTCCTGTCGGCTTGTCCCAATTGCCAGTTTTAGTTCTGAAGCCTATTTCCCCACAGAGTATCTTTCTGTTTGGAAATACATAGGGTTTTTGCTGAGCTCCATTCCCCAACCCTTTTCATGCCCCTGAGCAATGCCTGGTAATTGTATGGAACCTTTCTTGAGCAACTAGGAACATTTGCATGCGCGGCTGATGCCGACATGTACGACGAACTCAAACGCGCACACACACACACACACACACAGACACAGACACACAGCGAAAAGGGGTGACCGCAGCAGCTTCCAAACTCTCCACATTTGCAAGCGCTCAGCATCGTTTGGCTTCAGGTTTATCCAGCGCAAGCAGCATATGGTATGCAATTCGCTTCAAAATGATGAGCAAACAACCGCGTCCTAGCAAGAGGAAGAGGGGGGGCTGAGTGGGCTGACTTGAAAGGCCGTCATTGAAACCTGTGTCCTGAACATGCTAGCTGGCCATGCCGAGCATCGGTATCCACCCTCGGCTGCTGAGATTGCAACTTGCAGACATAAGCGTGACAGGCAGCCGCAGGGTTTGGGGGAGACCTCATTTTTGTGGGCTAGAGCTGAGCCGCCCCTTTTGACAACATATGAGTTGCGAACCCCTTGAAAGGTCTGGGTCCAACGCCGCTTCAAGGAGAAAAATGGAACACTTACCAGGCACTGGCGGATCAATACCTGGTGTAAAATTGTAGGGGGCTGTGCTAATCTCGGCTTCAAATCTGCGCTGCCGCAATAGCCGGTCAGCTAAAGGCACGTGTGCCTCGAGCAGCTCGGCTTCTCGGCTTGTCCGCGCTCGCACTCTGCTGCCGTGCCCCGGTAAGCCGATCCCAGCCGAGGGTGCTTGTCAGCTTTTCGGCGGGCTTCAAACGAGAAACGAGACAGCCAACCAAGGTGCTCTATCAATCCGCCATGGCCATGTTGATGTTACATGCGCAAATCCGGACCTTTTGCCAGCTACCCTGCAGCTGACCCCAAATGCAAATAGTCAGAAAACATGTTTTCCCACGGTCTGCGGAGTCTGTGGTCTCGACCTTCGGGGTGCGCAGGAAAGAGTCCTTTGGCAATTGGGCAGAGGAATGGCCGGCTCAAAAGGAGCCGAAGTGAGCACACGCGCTGCACGTGCTGAACCGATTGCCCCACCCACCCATTTGGAATCCTAGATCCATCAAAAGGCAGCAATGATCCTGAAAAACCAGAAGCTTTGATCGAGGTCCTGAAACATCAAGGACAACGGCCGATCAAGACATGTTCGGCAGGGTTGATGGATCCTGGGCGACCGGAAGGCCCTCGCCAAACCGGTCCTATCCTGGCTGGAATAACCGCTGAGCATGTCATGTCTGAAAGAACACCGCATGATCTTTGGTGCCATCCCTGCCGAACCTGCCCGTCACCCACGCGCTGAGTGGCGCGTCCCCTTTGCCATTCATCTGTATAAGGACATTGGCAGGAGTTGCCGAGCAAGCTTTGCTTGACACAATCCACAAGGGGTGGAGGGTCCTTGAACCAGTGGGCAAGCATCATTTGGTTGGGTTGGGGCCGGGGCTGGCTCCCACTTCCGTCGTAGAAGGGAAGTCGTTGGGAAGGCCCGCAGGTGGTATTACTCACAGAAGTACTCATTTTTTGTGCCCACCTAGATTTGTACCAAAAGCCGGCAGGGGTGAAAAGGCAATCCCTTCTTGTGGGTTTCCTTTTGAACACAGTAGTTGTTGGCTTCTTCTCAGAACCAAATTTGCACCAATCCAACCAAGTGGGGATGAACCCTTGATTTCTACTCCCTGAGTGGATCACCAGGCTGATTAGCTTTTCATCATATTTGGCGGAATGCTTTACCACAGGGAAACGAAGGATAACCGGACCCATCCCGAGCGGTCTAAACCCAATTTGAGAACGAACCAGTTTTGTGTTGCAGAAAGCCGTCAGTTGTGTGGTGCCGATTTGTTTCCCCTTCAAAGGACCCTGAACAGGTTGCCCTCCAAACAGGACAAGCCCAAATCACTCATCTAGGCGAATCAGAATAACCCGGCAAGCTGAAATAGAGGCACCCCCAAGAAATGAAGAAACCCACTTGACCTATATATTTGTTCAACAAAAAGAAGCAGCCGAGGTGTTGCGTGGTGGTGTCGCTGCACGGCGTGGCCGCGGTGTGCACTGAGTATGTCTTCCAGGTTCCAGGCCGGCTCTCCATCCCATGCCCGACTTGTTTGTTTGGAGGAATGCTCCACTTGTCCATGCAAACCGCTTGCTGGCCCCAAAACTACAATGAGCGGCGCCTGACCGCGTGGCGTCCAGGAAGACTGGCTAGCTGCCCCTTGAGGTGTCAGAGAAGCTTAAGTACTTGTCCCCGGTCCCCGGCAACTGGGCCTCGGGCCAATGAGAGAAAGGTTATGCTTGCATGCTCGCGGAGGCTGTTGCTCCGCCACTCTTTTGGGGTGGTTGGTTTTAGCTATGGGCGCGTCGGACTACGCAAGTGCCTGGCTTGAGAAACGGCTATTTGAATAGCCAACCACTGTCTCCCTTTTTGAGAAAGCCACAAGGATGTTGTTTGAATCAAAAGACCTTTTTGTTTTCTCTTGATGTGTCTTCTGTGGCTCCTTGGAACCAAAGACTTGTTAGTTGCGGGAACTTGAAAGATACAATTTCTCAGATGACTGGGCCACCGATTTCTGGTGACTCTGCCTGACAATGAAGAGTGACAGGTAGTCATATTGTGCTATTGTGCTGACTGCCCACGGGCAAACTCCCCAGCGCGGAACCTTGATGGACTTGTGGCTTCTGAAGCGGCAAGGTAACATGGTGCGGACAGGTCGCATGCTTTCGAATGTCTGAGGCACGTTTGTTTTGGCAACGGGTTGTTGTCGAGCCAGCTGCGTGGGAGGGAGAAAGGAGGCTTCCCAATAACATGTTCGCGCATGAATCTAGGCCGTCGGTTTGCAATGGGTAAGTATTGGAGAAGGAAAAGGGGGGTGGGCAGGGGCTTAGCTGCTTCCTCCATTTCACCGCTGTTGGGACTCTAGCACTCCTTTGGTGCTCCCAGGTATGACATGGGCTGTCTTTGGTTGAACACAGATGGCAGATTTGGATTCCGCAGCCAGCCCGTCGCCAAGCCAGGCTTCGCCTTTGGCCTCTTCTACACCTTTGCACAGTGCTTTCCAGCTGCGGATCATCGACTGCGGAATAGGTTTGGGTTTTCACCCCCTTTGAAAGGTAAACAAGGCGGTTGCAAAAGAGGAACCCCAAAAGGGATGATTGCCAAAGAAGAGTTGCAAGGGGCCCAACCCATTTCCCCTTGCTCTTCTTGGACAATGCCAGCCACATAGAGGCGGATTTTGACGAGAGGATTGTACTCATCAAAGAGTACAACATCTTCGTACCGATTTCCAGTTCTCAGCCGCAGTTGACATGGTCTTCTTAAATTGGCATCCCAGCGTTTTTGTGAGTGCTGTGCTTGGCCCGCCGGATGTTGTAGGCGGAATCATACAGTCTTCCTGGTACGCCCAGTGGAGTGGCGGACATGGTCGCATCTTTCTGATGGGTGGGAACAGAAGCCTGTCCCTGGTCACGTAGGGTGCCGCATTTGAGCAAGGTGCGCTGGGCGTACCTGCCATTGATTTAGACAGCTGCTGTATACTTGCCTTGCCAGAGTCTGTTCCAGTCTGCTCCTGCGCACGTAGTTCAGCCTGCAATGTCAAGTGGGGGCAATACGCTGTTTTCCCATACTTTCATTGGAGGGGGCGTGGTTCCCTTTTGGTGGGTTTAAACGTTGACATTTGGTCCAAATCTAAGTGATCTTCCTTTTCGTGGGGTGATGTTCAAAGAGGAATTGCAGGGAACTGTTCATCGAATCTCAAAGCGTGGCTTCTGCTTCGCCCCACGATTCACGAAGCGAGGCTTCACCTTCACGCTGCTGGCTCTGGCAAAAGCTGCTGTAGGCCGAATGCCACTCTTGGACCCTTTGTTAGGGGGCGTAAGTCTTAAATCGGGACCTGTGCTTACAGCTGTTGTGGGGGAACCTTTGCTTGGAAGCTTTCAACTAAAGAGGGGCATTGTCAAAAGTCTGGAGGTTTTTTTTTTTGTGCGCGAAATCCTTGTCTCCCAGATTTGTCGTTTGAACCCTTGGATCCCAAAGAAGGGTCAAACAAGCTCCCCTGGACAATGCGGGAGGGCCTTTGTGTTTTCCCACAGCAGGCCATGCTGTTGCATGTCTTTTTGGTTTGAATATCCCGCATGAATGGTTGAAAAACATGATGTACAGTTCATATTCATATCGAGGGATTCAGCCTTTCGTGCGGGGCCGTGGTGGGCGGGGGCAACAGTCCGTGGATCCAGGGGGCCTGTCGCTGAACATGGGCGCTGTCGAGGGCTCCGCCATAGCTGGGCCGCGTGGCCAGCGGGGCGTTGCGCAAGTCTTTGGTCGGGTCTCAAGTCAAGCGCGGCGTATCAAGCCCTGAATCCTGGGGCGGTGGTCTTTGGGGGGTGGGGTGGGGTGAGGTTGAAGGGTTCCCTGAGTGAAGGTTAGTTATTGTTTGGATGAAACACAATCTAGATCAGAAGGCAAAAGGTGACCTTGCGGAGAGTTTCTTTTTAGTTGATACCGTGGCTGTATGACCGACAAGGTGACATTGAAGGGACTCAGAGGGTGTGGCTGAGGCCTTGAATTTGGGTGCGTCAAAAGATGTCCTTTTGAGCCCCAAGTCTTTGCAGATACGCAGATCCTTGTTTTTGTTTTTCTTGCTTTTTTTTCCGGTTCTTGGGCCTGGGAGGTTCCCCAAGAGTGACTTGGTTTGCCTCTGCAAGGCGCACACCAGCAAGGGTTCATTGAT